AAACCGTCTGTCCCCCTGTACATATGCAGGTAATCTTAAACAGATTGAGTAGAAGCTTATAATAGCAATGATATTGTATTAATGGTGTTTATAGAGGGTTCAAGTGCTTAGCTTAGTGAAGAAGATATTTTAAACTGCTGAAACTATTCCTGTAATTTTTAAAGAACTTGGAACAATTTGTTATATTTTTGCCCTTAAGTGCTGTAGGTTAGAATTCATATAGCACATGACTAGTAGAGAGTCAGACACAATGTAAAAAGTCATCTTCTGCCATTATGACTTGTCTGTCTGAAGCTAGTTGTGTATTTCTAAAGAACTTTGAACAATTTGCTTTCCCTTTTGCCTGTGAGTACTCAGTAGGTCAGATCAGAGTAAGAGAAGAGTTTCAGACACAGTGGAAACAGCCAGTCTTTATTTTATGTCTTGTCTGTCTGAAACTATTCATGTATTTTTAAAGAACTTTGAACAATTTGCCTTTACTTTTGCCTATAAGTAGGTCAGATCGGAGTAAGAGATGAGTTTCAGACACAGTGGAAACAGTCTGCTGTGCTTTAGAAGTCCTCACTGTTACATGTCATTCTGCCACGACTGTCTTGTCAGTCTGCCAGGTCTTCACGTGTTTCCTCTCCTACCAGAGGTGTAGAGACGTGCCCGATGTGTGGAGAATTCCCTGTCTTGTTCACATTATCCAGTATAGATTGTCTGTCCTATTTGTTACACATGTTGCAATGATGACAGCTATTGAGTACCGGTACATTGTACTGTAAGAAGGTGGTATTAACTAGGTTAATGAACAACATGGTACAACATTACTAGATGTAATATATCCTATATTTACTGGGTTTATTGACTGACAAAAATTGTGAGTAGTGTTCACAAGAAATATTAGGGCATGTTTTCCTTTTGTTTCTTATAGAATTTTTATTTTGAAAGTTATTCATCTATCAGGTTCTCTTAATTTCAGATATGCGTCATCTAAAACATTTTGAAAATTGGAAACAAATTATTTATGTGTGTAGGAGAAATAATGAAACACCAATTTCTTTTTGCTTATTATGCCTATAGGAATGAAAATCAATGTTTAATTTTCTTGTTGAAAATTGACAAATTATGAATCAAGACCAAAATATCATTAAAATATATGATAGGAAAATATTGAATATTAACATTTTTTACACTTGAGTTTTAAATATTAGTTCTCTTTGAAACTCAGTTTTTATACATTTGTCTATGTAAATAAATACCAAAATGGGACAGGTGCTTGAAGGAGAAAGTCCTTTGTTTCAAAATGTTTTATGGTTGCCCTTTCCTGATATGTAAATATTTCATTTTAAATTATTCCCAAATTATGACTTAAAGGATGATTTTTTTAAAACAAATATAAATTACTCTAAAATGATTTAATTTCAGTGGCATTTTTCAATTAAAAATTTGTATACACTTTGCCCCCTAATGAATTATTCAACACTGCTTGTCCTTAAAGTTCATATTATTTATCAAAGATGAGTTCCCACCATCAGAGGCTTTATTAACCCTGACAGACAGACAGACAAACTCTGACAAAGACTGTTTCCTCTGCAGCAGTCAGATTTAATTGCCTCTGTCTTCATCCTCTGTTTTTTCTCTCATAGATGTGTAGGAAATTAATTTCAGGACATGTGGTATTAACTTAGATAAATGAATTAAAAAAAATAAAACCAAGAAAAAAGAATTGATGATGATGATGATACAAGATGTTGCAGAAGTGAAAGCATGACAGACTGTTGGCAATACAAGGTCGTTGGCCACATTTAAGGTGCTTGACCTACACCTTAGTCACTGTTACAGATTCTGTTGGATTTAATCCAATTTACCCATTATCACAGAGGCAATCAATAAGAAACAGTCTTGACAGCTTAGGATAATGGTCTGTGATGCAATATGCCATGTTTTCTGACCTCAGATGACCTCTCCTGATTTTCAGCCAATCGGGGAAGTGAATTTTGACCTGTGCACAGGAGAACAAAATACACCATAAATACCAGGGGAAAGCAATTATTTTCACAGTTGTGGGTCAGAGATTTTGATATCAAGGATTTTGGAGGACATTTGTTGTTTTGTTTTTAACTTTCATGATGTTGTTAAGGCAGCTGTTTACAAAATGTGTAGAGTTTCAATCAGAGAGGGGTAAGACAGAGAAAAAGGTCAATGGAAACTCTAAAAAGTCCAAAAAGACCAAGTCCAGGGCTCAGGGTCAGGAAAAGAAAGTAAGCTAGATCTCAGTGTAGACAGTAATAAGTAGGAGGTAGAATTTGATTGGATTTTTTTTAAACAATCATTATTTGTTTACGACTGATGTTTTCTTCAGTGTCTTTGGATATGGGTAGAAATATAAAAGTCTGTTATTCAAAAAAATTAGAAAATTTGGAAGTACTTTACAATATGTGATCATTTATAACCTAGTTAGTTACAATTCATGGCAAATGCCACTAATACAGAGTTGCTCCTTTAGGACTGAGGTCAGTAGAGTGCTTGTTCAACACAGTCTCAAGCCCTGCCAGGCTGCCATGTTTATAAATCCAAGTCCATTAAAAAAAGGAACCAATGTTCCTTGTCAGGTGCTTGGCCCATTGAAGCAAATGATGTGTCTTGGAAGTTACCTCAAAAACTGAGGTTTAGTCTTATGGTACAGTAAAACTTGTCTAAACAGGACACCATTCATTTTAGAGAAATTGAAAGAGAAATTCCGGGTCTGACAACATTTGAAACAAATTTACTGAAAGGGACTTCCGTTCAAGTATCATATTGGAAGAGATTCTGGAAAACACAACCTATGGATTAGACAACTTTTACTGTATTACAACATTCAATTGAAATATAAGCTAGGGAGGATCGATGTCTGACAGGAAAATTCATATTTCTGGATTGATCCAACTTTTTTTGCAAAATAACTGCATTTTCTTGCATAAGATTGCAGGGGTCAAATTTCAACACAGTTCCAGACCTCAACCAGACTTATACATGTACCCAGTATATGTATCATATCTATCATGATGGATACAGGATTTGTGATTAGAAGGGGGGATGATTTCATTGAGGCAGGGGGTCTGGGGGCCGCCTTTAAGGCTCCTTGGTTTTCATGTATTTTATGAGTAAGCCCGGGCACAAAATAGTGGTATCGATTAGTTATATACACTATGATAAATTTTTTAAATAATTATAAGTAAAATTTTCAGATGATGTTTATATTTTCTTAGTTATTTTGCCTTGAGTATATTGGATTCAGATTTCACTGAGAAAACAGCTGTAAAAAAAAAAATAATCAGTTTGAACTGTTGTGTTTAATTGTTCGGAATTGTTTAATATATGATGAAATATCAAAAAAATAAATCTTAGTTATATGCCAGGAGCATTCTGGTAAAGAAAAAGCATTTGTCACTTCCAAACAAAATGTGAGCTTTCCACAAATGACATAAAATTGACATTTAAGTTGATATTTAAGATCAATTGAGATATTTGTTTCTGCAAATCCATTATAAATATATCGACTTTCCATGTTTTAAAATTTTGTCCCCAAAACAAAAAGATGAAATAATATCTATTAATTAGAATTGCTGAAAATTATATTTGTATTTGAAAAAATCTTAACTATTTGAAATTTGTTCAGAGAAAATATAAATATACCCATAAGGCCATAATAAATATATAGCTAGATTCTCATTCAATTTTTTTTTTTAAATCGAGGCGGGCGGGCGGCTTTTATTTTATATTTTTTATTTTTTCAATTTTGCAGATTTTTTATTGACCTGCAATCCATATATATATCATATATCCCGTAAAAGTCATAGTAAAGGTTCAATGTCTTTACTTCACATCATCATCGATTTTATCAACCAATGACAAAAAAACGATGAAAGCAATTACCATCTTTTCATGTCAAAATATTAATTAGAATTGCTGAAAATTATATTTGTATTTGAAAAAATCTTAACTATTTGAAATTTTTTCAGAGAAAATATAAATATTTTTATTATGGCCTAATCATGTTTAGATACATGTTATATTTCATCAAGGTCAGATGTGGTGTTTCATTATAATAAAATGTTTTGTTTCAAAGTAAAAACAATCATTTTTTTAACAAGTGAAATAAAATATATACATATAGCTAATTATTCAGTTAAAAAATTCTCTCTGCTATTAACATGGTTTAATAAAGACAAATTTTAATTTTCCTTTAGACTAATTAAAATTTCATGTTCTCACATGAGTGAGAGGAGAGTAAAAAAAAAAAAAGAATTGTTGTAAACAAAGTTGAAGTGTAAATGTATGATGAGTAATGATAGTATATCAATAAGATTAGTTTTGCGCAGTGAAACCTGTGACTTTTGCTGCCTAGGTCGTGCGTCATTATTTACCTGGTTCTAGTCCTCAGTGCTCCGAGGGTCACGAATCGTCACAAAATGACAGATCAAATCAAAATAACACTCCTCTGCATGTTAAGTCATTAATGGCCATAAATATGCTTTGTAAACAAACATGGTACTGTAGAAGTAGAGATATGTAAAGGTCATGATATTAGTCTAAGAGATGTTTGCATTACATATTTCATTGAGAGATTAAAAGGAGGTTAACCTTTTTGTATCATATGAAAACTGGAATTTTCACTTTACTAGTTGCCCTTTTTTAGACATTTCTTTGTCCACTCACATATGGTCTGGCCAAACACAATAAAATTGAGATTCTCTTTCTGAAACTTTTTTGTTATGTCTGCCGAAATTAACAAAAAATTTACATAGGCAAGTTGAAAAGTATCTTAATTAATTGCCTTAAAATAGCATTGCCAGTATCTTTTTATTGAACTTCAGTTTTTCCCCCTATTTCTCAATATTGGTTAAATTAACTATCAAGTAGATATTTGTATTAAATGTTTCTGGCTTATAGTTTTTGATCATTCACTGCTCAGCATACAATAAATATATAGTTAAATACAGTTGCAATCATGTTTCATTTTGTACTAACAGGATCTTGGAAACTTTGCCATGCCTCTCCTTGAGCAGGGTGTCAATGATGCTACAAACCACGGTGATCTTCCCGAGGGCGAGTATCGACCCCGCGCAGGGTCCACAGGGTTCAGGGGGCTCTTCAAAAACAAACAACGCAAACAGTCAGGGGACGATGACATGAAACACTCCCAGTCCACATCAGCCAAAGTGAAAAGTTTTTTTGCAGAAACATTCAGACCTCGGTCAAAATCTGACCTCTCTGGGGTGAAAAAGCCGGGAAAACGACATAGTGCCAAAATGGATCAGTCCATGGACGAGAGCCATCTACGAGATTCTATATCACCTGGTAAAACGGAACAGTTCAGCCCCCCGGGTGGGGGACTTCCCCCGGGGATATCTAATCACAAAGGTCAAGATCAGGTGTCCCCTATGGGACAGTTGTTAGGGGGACAGTTGGGTGATAACAATAAACATCGTCATTCCTCAGGGCAAGCTGAATTCATGGATAGATTCAGGACAAGATCAAATTCAGATTCCAGGGCAAGACCCCCTAAATGGAAACTGACCCAACAGGTAATACGTATGTGACATGGTCAAGTTTATAACATGATGAATTATCGACTGAATATTTCTTGTTTGTTCAACACAATAAATATTCTATAATGTGTATTAAATATCCAGTGAATAGTTATTTACTGATGGTATATTTTCGTTTCAGAAAAGTGTAAGCCCACCTCACAGTCCTTCAAATGGTAAGTCGAACGATACGTACATGTAGCTAAAGCGAAAGTTGGAAATTCCCTTAATCTAAAAATATATCTTAGCCATCAGCAGTCGCTGATGCATTATGGGTTCAGGAAGTTTGGAGTCAGTACATGCGACCTCTCCATTGGAAAATGTCATGTCGGGAGCGGGAGCTTGAATAGCTGTTATATATTTAGTTATTTTGTGAGTGAGATTGTGTAAACTTGCATCCTGGGCTCTGAGATCTCGTCCTCTAGAAGGAGAGAGGGCATGGAAGCGAAGACGAGTCGGCGCCGATCCTCGGGAAGCAGTGGCTGTCCCGCGTCGTCAGGTACTTGGTTAGGGCCTCCATTTTATATTGATCGGTTATCCTAATGATTCATAATGACAGTCATATAAGCATTATTGCTGGTCTAATTATGCTTATTGTGCTTTTCTGCGTAGAAAATGATTCCAGTAATGTATGAGTGCATGATTTTAAAAACGAAGGTGACCGCTGGGGTTTGACAGTGTGTATCTGTCAGTAGAGTAGATGTGATAAATTATGTGTGTGTAATGTATGAATCTGCAATTTATTCACTGAATATTCCTTTAAATTTATTGCGTTGTTGCTATTATTAAAACGGTTGCTATAAACTTTCGTATTTATCATGTGATAAAATGTAAAATTACATGGTATTTATTGCCCTGGCATACAAACCAAATTCAAATCTGCTGCTTTTGTTTTATAATATATTTTGACTATTAATTCAATCTAGATCGAGTATTGTTTAGTGTTTAGTAGCACAGCTTTGGATCATAATTTTACGGAATATTATGAAGAAATTCAGACATGCCGAAATTTTTAAATCAGGTAGGGGAGATCCGTCCAATTCTGGACACTTTTGTCCTGTTTTAATATGTAACACCCAATAAACGAAAATAAACACTCAACACACTCTGATTTCAAGTAATAAAGTATGGAAACTCTTTTTGACAACAAAATGCAATGAATATCATCATGAAGCACAGTGAAATATCTTTTATTGATAATAAAATGAATTCAGGTGGTGAAATAGTGCAAGTCCAGACAACACGGGGTAATTCCAGACAGGCGGGGTAAATCGGGACAGGAGAGCAATTTGTGCTTTGAAAATTTTTTTTGTGAGAAAATGGATTCCAACAACATGCAATTTTGTTAGACAAAGCAAGCTTAAATTTACATTACTTACCATGTATATTACACATTTTCATAAGAGAAAGAGATGCGGGTTAAGGACATGCATAAAAATGATATTACTGAGCCCTCCCCCTTCCCAATTTGATTTTATAAAGAAAATTTTTTGATAATCAGAAAAAGTAATTAATTAAATAAAAACAAAAATTCAGACACTGGACTAATTTTTCTTGGGTCTTTAATATGGGCCGATATGTCAATAATTTTGGGCTGACCCTTCCAAGCCTAGTTGTCAACCATCGCAGGCCGAGATGTCGTAGGGCCGAAATGTCTATCTACCCATAAAACCAGCGTCCGCAATTCCCCCACCCAGAAAAAAATCAGTAGGGGCACGTTGTTTTATAACATTAAATGAAAAAATTAACATTATTTTGTATTATTCATCATATTTTTTTTCTTTTTAAACTTATGCTCTCTACATAAAAAAAAATTAAAATAATAAATGGAAATAAATATTTATCTTAGATGCTGTTTTAATTCTATGTCAAATTGCCCTTAATTTGTTCAAATTTTGCTGCCTAATGGATTTCAGGAACGTAAAAGTTCAACGTCTAAGTTTAGACGTAATTATAGCATTCAGCATACCCTAGAATAATTATAATGTTTTTAAAAAAGACAGCAATGACATCCGCTTTCCGAATGTACTTCATTTATTTATAATCAACCATATAGAATTACCGAAAACTAAGACAAAAGAGAAAGGCTGTATTATTTGTCCGGAATTACCCCGTGTCCAGAATTGGACGGATCTCCCCTACAGTTTCACAAAATATTTTAATTATGAGATGGCTTCCTACTCGAATTTTGTGCCTTTAATTAAATTATATCGATAAACTTTGACTTTGTAATTCTATAATTAGATTTAAAATTGTGACTACTGTATAAAGTCATTCATATAATGTGATAAAAACATCTGAGTACAGCCTTTCTCTAAAGAAGTACATTTAATATCATATCTTTTGATAAGATAGAAGTTTGAAATAATGATTTGAACATAAGACAATTTGATACCATATATATAGTGTTGTCACGATGATCGATTTATAATCAATGATCGGTCGGAAAGGCTGTCGATTTAAGACAATCGATTGGAGATTTTAACAATTGATTAATCGGTATATTTCAGCACATATCCTTTTTTTTTAAAAATAGTTTTCTCACTTTTATTTCAAGAACAGGCTCTTGTTATAAAAATATATATCTTTCAAGTGTTGTCTTTTACTACCTATTGTAAAATACATGTACTTAAAATCTGTTTAAAATAAATCATAAGATAATGATAATTGTATTTCTAAACTAAAGAAACTAAACTACTTGTATAAATGAAATATATTAGTTTTCAGTATTTGGGGAATTCACTTTTCATTTCATGCGTAATCACAAGGATTTGCAATATTAAATGTCTTATAACAGTTTAAAAAATTAATTTGATATATATTTTAGGTGATCATGTAAATTAAAACCTGATCTGTCAATGCTTATGTTTCCCGGGCCAAGTAATTCCTAATCATGGAAAAGTCTATATTACTGAAATTGTTAATCAAACTGCATATATACAGTTTTTAGAATTTCGATCTGTACAATGCACCTTTACTTAACATTATTTAAAAATAAAATTCTAATTTTATATGAAATATAATACCTATTTTATGCAAAGGGTTACCGATTCGATTATTGGCCGATGATCAGTTGGTTAGGGTCAACCGATGCTACCGATTAATCGATTCTGATTTTCAACCGATTTGACAAAACTACATATATACAGATTATATGTCTTTTATAGACTAGAGGAAAAATTTCATTCATTCATTATATTACAATCCACTGCTGTACATGTCCAAAAGGACCATTGGATATGAATGGGAAGTACTATTAGAATAAAGTTTAAAAAAAATTCATATTAAAATGAAGGAAAAGGTAATTAAAGTTTTAATACTCACTTTAAAACAAATGGTTTAAATAAAATAATATTGATATGTTTGAGACTATAAATCTGAAAAGGGGGGAAAATCTTTTAAGCTGTCCATGAACAACTTGCACTCCAAGTCCAATGTCAGTGCCTGCAATGCAGCATTATATTTTATTTAGACCTCTAGAGCAGCTGATCTTCGTATTTGATGAAGGAATTTAATTGTTACAAACTTTACATTGTGTTGAGCAAGATATATTGGTTTATAAGTTATTACCATTGCAGTATTGTTTGGTGTGATGCCCACACCCTCTGACAAAAGATAATTGCATCTCATTGGTAACTGTAAAATCAAGAATTTATCATTGCTTTTAATCATTTCCATGTGAGGAAAATGACATGACAAGAGCAAGACTGTATGTGTGTTGAAAGGGAGCTATATATTAAATTAGCGCTTTGAAAAAGTATGTAGTTATTCCTCTTAGTCTTTGTATAAAGAATGAAAAATAAAACGTAGACTCTTGTATGACATAAAGAATTATAAAACGGATTAACTACTGCAAGATTTTCAGTTTGAATTTATGATATCTCTATGCGATCTATCAAGATTATAGTTACAGACCCTAAACCGTGTTTTACATCATATATATTTTTTTCCAAAAGTGTTACTTGTTCCGTGCACAAAGCGTACCCTTCCGTGCACAAAGCGTTTTCACAAAAAACAAATCCGTTCGCAAAGCGTAATGGGGTACCGTGCAGGTGGTGTAGTAGCACGGTTTAGGGTCTGTATCCAAAGATAGTGTTTTTATCATATAATTTTTTTAAAGTTTACCTGTCCTTTAACCCTTGTCCTGCCAGGGATTCTATAGATAACAGCATCTCTGAGTGCCGAGCTGATAAGGAGCTCCAGCCGCTGACTGTGCCAGGCTGATATATAAATTTCTCTCAAATTGCATATGCTGTAGATTATCTTGATTATCACCATTTTATAGTTGACTTTTCTGATAACAATCTACACAACTTTTTTTCAGAAAAAACAAAAGAAGAAAATTGTGAAGAAATTTTTTTAATATTTCAACTCAGTAAAAAACTACAAAAGCTTTAAACTAAAATTTTACATCTAAAATATTTAAAATGAGAAATTATTGGTATTTTAATGTCATTATTTATTTCATAGTAGCTTTTTGCAACTACTATATTGTAAGAGTCCTTCATGTTACTACTGGCTATACTTTCAGATTATTATGATTGCTACAAGTCCTTTTTTGACACCTTTTTAATGGACATGGAAATCCGATTTTGTGGCTCCGTTTCTTTCTTGTGAAATATTGAATATATCTGCCGTAAAGTATTTTTTTTTAACCAAAACGTCTTCAAAACAGGTATTAGAAATAATAAACTTTAATTGTCAATCAGTGTGCGATCATTTGACACAGTTGTATCGATTTTTTTCACCTTTGAAACTGGTGAAGCGCATCAATGTATTTAAATCCACGTGTCCTCTGAAAAGTGATGGCTCCAACGTAATATTCATGTCCATGGAATCAAATCATTAGAATTCTTCATCGGAAGCTCAATTTAGATATATTTTACCAAATAAAACATTTATTTCTGCCTGCTATTACTGTAAAAGCGTATTTCCATCGAGCATCTTCTCCCGACCTCCATCTTGTTTTCAAACTTTCCCCAAAGTACGCGATCAACAAGTTTCATTTTCTAAGAATACATAAAGGAATTTCCCATCCAGAGCTAAAACTACTGGAAAATCTATCTATTTTTAGTAAACAACATTGAAATGAATGGATTCCCTTTATTTCATTGGTTATATATGGATCGCGTGCAAAGTCGATTACTTACGACCGGCACAGAAAAAACATGGCGGC